GCAGCCCAGCTCACTGTGTTCTTTGGACCATTACTTTTAGTGCTGTCAGGTCTGGTAGGACACATTCACTCTCTTCAGGCTGGAGAGAGGCCATAATGTGACTCAGTGCCTGTTTGGGGCCAGGGAAGTTGGTCCTGGAGCTGGTGACAGACCCATGCAGCATTGCCTGGCACTGTTCAGCCCTGGGGAGCTGTGCAAGGCAGGCATGGGCTGCGGAGACCCACTGATTGTGCCTGGCTGGATTCATTGACAGGCTGAGCCCGAACTGAGCCTGGTGGGACCCAGGAAAGCAGGAGGTGCTCTGAGAAACCCCAAATATTCCAGTGACTACCATCTCCTAGCCTGCCACTAAAGCCACAGTGGCTGGGCCCAAATGCCACTGTGGCTTTAGTGGCAGGTCCCCAATTTATCGTAGTCTTAAACCTGTTTTAGCTGGTTATACTGGATGAGTGGCCCCAGTCCCACAAGTGAGGCCTGGAGTTTGGCATAAGTGTGGGTACCCTCAGTGGTGGAGAAGGTGATCAGACACTGCAAGCCAATGGTCCTTATTTAGGACGCTTTGTAGACAGAGCCAGGGCCCTGCTTTGGATGATTTCTAAGCAGTCTACACAACAGTGCCGAGCTGCAGGGTGGGCAGGCAACTGGGAAAGAAGAAAAAAATGCTACAACCAGACAGGGACTGAAAGCACAAGAAGAGCCCGAAACCAAATAAAAAGCTGGAAAAAGCACAAGAGACACCCCAGAGCATGGAACATGTACCCCAGTGTGCCCAGGAGGCTACAGCTGGAGGAACCAGGGCTCCCCTCCCCAGCCTCGTCTCACTATCCATTGTGTGAAATTAAGTAAAGCAACAGAAAAGCCTGGAATAAAACAGGGTGAGCTCAGGCCTCCTGCTGCCTTTTCCAGTGGTGGCTGAAGTCAGGGTGAGTGCAGGAGGGTGGATGGGGAGTGGGTACTAGAAGCTCTGCAGGGCTGCACACTGGCTGATGAGACCAGCTGCTGCGGAGCTACGAGCAAGCCTTGCTGGCTGTGGGGTATAACCCTTCATGGGGGTGAGGGCTTGGCTGCTGGCACAAGGCATCATGGTTACCAGAAGTCTTCATCATGTACGGGGCCAAACTGCTGGGAGATGGTCCCTGGCACCTGCCTGGGCTCTCTGCCCCCCTTGCAGGGACTCTATCCTTCCCCAGGCTGTTGATGGGCCAAGTGCAGGTGCAACACCTGGGGGCTCCCCCGCCTGGAGGGCCCTCCTGGACTGCCAGCCACCTCCAAGCGTGGCAAGTGTCCCCCCCACAACCACCTCCTCCCTGCCTGTTGCATCCCTCTGTTCACAGCCAGAGCCAAGGGGTAACACAGAGCAAGGAAAAGAGCCTTTATTTAGAAAGCATGTGGTACCCAGTACTCCTGGGTCCTCTTCCCTGCTATCTCCCATCTGAGCCCACTGACATCCCTACCAACCACCCACCCCCACCTCCTGTCACTGATCCTCTTGCTGTAGATGCAGAGACCTCCCCCCAGCAGCTCCCCAAGTGCCCACAGCACCCATCACATCCCGCCCCTGAACAAGCACCTCCATCCCCCTGTGAGCACCCACCCCTGTGCCTGCCCAGAAGACACTGCAGTCCCTCGAGCTGTGCCTACACCACGCACCCACCCCCACATGCTCCCCAGCCAGGGTCTTTCTGTGCAGCCCCTGCGGAGGCACAGGCCAGGAGCAGGGACATCCCCCATCCCTGCCCTGCTACTGGTGCGGAGACTCCTGCTTCTGGTGTCGCAGCCGCTGCTGCCTGCGCAAGGGCTGGGGGCTGAGCAGGGGGATGTGTCCGACGAGGCACAGGGGCGAGCCCGGACTGGGGATTTCAGAGCAGGGAGGTGCTGGCTGGTGTCCCAGGGCTGGGAGATGGTGTCTGGGAGGTGCAGCTGGCATGGCAAAGGGCACAACAGCTTCCGAGGGCATAAGAAAGGCGGGCACAAAGCCATAGGAGAGATTGAAGGCTTTGGGGGCTACTCCACTCTGCAATGGGACAAGGCAGGCTGGTGCCACGCTAGCTAGGGCACCTGGGTGCCCCATGGTGCCTGCAGGGTCCCTGCCCACCTGGTCCTTCTGCAGCAGCTCCTGCAGTTTCTCCAGCTGTGTCCGGCAGATGTGGGAGCGTGTGCGGCTCTGGCAGAAGGACTCCAGAAAGGAATCGAGGGGCAGGTCCCGGGCCAGGAACTGCTCCATCTGTGCCTGTGGCATGGGCAGTGAGACAGAATCAAGCCAAGAGAGCCATGGGACCACAGAGGGAGCCCAAGGCTGAGCACCACCCTCAACCCTGGACTCTTCTCCACAGCCTGGCACATGGAAAGGCACGGAGAGGAGTCTGGGCCAAGGTGAGGAAGGGGCGGCAGCATAGGGGTCTTGCCTGACTCACCTCTGACTCTGCCTCAGAGGCATCGAGCTTGGCTTGGAGCTGGCCCAGGGCACTCTGTGGGCTCCACTTCTCCAGGTACGCCTCTGTGTCAGGAGGGGATGGGGCTGCCAACAAACCTGCCCCCAGATGCCCCCACTGCTGGGGGTGGCGGTCCTTCCCATCCCTAAGCATCAGTTCTCCTCATGTGCCGCCCCCACAAACACTTCCAAACACATCCCTGGAGCCACTTGCACACCGAGGCCTGCATCCTATTGCAGCATCAGTCCCAGCTGAGTGCTGGCTACATTGCAGGCAGCATCACCCCCCACTGGTCCCGATCATAGCTGGGCCATTTCTCTGGGGTGGGTTCGAGGGTGCTGAGTCCACCCAGGCCCTCGTATTAATGTGGGTCGCTCTGGCTGTCCCAGGCTCTGCCTTGTTCTATCTCCTGTGCCCCACTCACCCAGGCACTGCTGCTTCTCCCAACATGCCTCTCGTATCTCCCGCAGCTCCTGGTACTTGATGGCTAGGGAAGCCTTCCCATCTTCCAGCCGTGGGCGCAGGGACAGGTTCACCCTGGCCAGGGTGCAGTTTGAAGCCAAACACACCTCTCGCTCCAGCTGCAGACTCTGAAACTGTGGGGATGAGAACGGGGTGGGGGGTGTCAGCACTGGGAGAAACAGGCAGAACCAGTCAGAGCTGGCAGCCTGCTACTGTGCCCATTCCTCTGCTCTGCCTGGAAAGGGGGTACATCCCAGGGGATATGCAACGGCTGGACCCAAGCTATGCATGGCACAGGGCAGCCTACCCTGAACGTGGCAAAGCTCGCAGCTGGCTTCCCAGCCCCCTTTGCAGAGGAAAGGGCTTGTTAGCTAACAAGGATGTCAGGAGAGAGACACACGCCCTCTCTCGCTGCACACAAATTTTCCGCCCATGCAAATGGGGTAGCAGAGCATGGTGCTGGGCTGCACTTTGAGAGGCCCAGGGGAAAGATTCTGAAGTCAGGCTGAGAATGATTTCAGAACAACCTGACCCTGTTCCCGCAGACGAGCGCCAGGAACAGGTGGAGCCAGGGAGCACTCGGGGCTCATCCCAGCTGCAGGGAACAAAGCCAGATGTGGAGCGTGCGGCGTGCACCAGGGCCTCCCAGTCTCCCCAAAATCTAGGGGCAGCGA